ATTTGATTTTAAATACAGATACCTTCAAAAAAGTATTCAAATACTATACCCAAGTACTTTTTTCAAATGTATTTAGAATACGTATTTGAGTACTTAAAAAGTATTTGAATACTTTTACTCAAGTACTTTACAAGTCTGATAATTGTGCATTCGTGGCTCGTGCGTTATTTTAGGCTTCAGCAAGGCGCAGGCCAATTGTAACATTCTAAAAGTAAGGGGTGCAACCGCACACCCTGCTACCCCCCAAACGATGCCCCTGCTGCATGATGTTAATATCATAAATTAATAACAGTAATAAAGAGATATCAAATAACTATTAGGTACCTATTATACATGGGTGGATAGGCCATTTTTGGAATGCCCCCACATGAAAAAAAATTTWATAATATACGATATTAAAGGGCCCCGGCCATTACCGAAATACGAAGGSGGGCCCATCGGGAAATGCCCGGTAAGCCTATCCGCCAATGCCTATATATACGTCTAAAAACTCGACATCGGTTGTCGTATCGAACGCAATATTTGAATTCGTCGATGGTTTTACCAGAGAATGGAAAGAAAAACAACGAGAATGACCTTCATAACTAATTGTTTCCTGTATAGATTTTTCGATTTTCACAGTTATTGAAGTACATGACGTGTATAAATACGTATTTGATCAAAAGCATGCAGCTGATAAATCTGGTTCACAAATTGTATCTGTGTCTTTATTGTTATTCCAATGAATTTGCGCGTTTGTGTGAATAGATTTAATATTGAACGACTTAACGTTTGAGTGGACACTTATAGCGGTTTAGACTTATTTTAAAAATGATGATTTATTTTGTTTCGGATCAGAGCCGGCCACGAATAGCWTTTTTTTTCTTTTTWAGCGCTATTTTTCTGATCCACTTTTTTAATCGGGTAAAATAAATGTAATACTACTATAAGGCAAAAAGMTCAAAAATTTAAATAGGTACGCTCRTAGCAACAACAAGACGAAAATTAGGAATCGCGGAAAGCAATCGAAAATTCGACAAAATTATTATGAAACGATTTCACTATCGTTTTATCAAGTAGGTATCTCTATAGCGGAACTCGGCAAAAACTGTTTCGCTCGGGAAAGAACCGAGAAGCCTCTAGTTTTAACTAAGAAACCAAATTTTCACCATGAAAAAGGGAG